ATGTTAGATGGGATTCTCTTGATAGAAGATCTCGCTTGAAATCCTCAACTTGATTGAAATTGACTACACCTTCCAGTGTGCCGGAGGCCATAGTACATTGTACATAGCAGGGAACTGCAATTCTAGCTGAAGCTGTGTGGTCCTGGAAGTCGTCTGACCCAGCCAAGACACTTCCTCCAGCAGCTGTCTATCTCTCTTTGGCATCCCAGTTCCACTGACATCAAGTGCCTCACCAGCGTGCTCTGGTAATAGCCTGGAAGCGGCTTTCCTGTTCTTCGTGTTATAACTCACACAAGCTGCCAAGCCCTGCCTCTGCCTTCTTGCCACTTCTGCTCAGAGCTCTTTGACGTCATTGTCTCTGCTCTTGCTATCCCAGCTTAACTCAGTTTCTAACTATGCCACAGACCTCCATCAGAGCTTCTTACATGAATGCTCCCAGAGTAGAAGGTGCTGGAAAACAAACCAAGCACACCACAGAGCTAAACCAGACAGACTGCCCTCAAGGACCGCATGGCTCAAGGACACACACAGCTGTGAGGAAGGTGGACTGTGGTTGTGGAGAATGGGATGGATGATGGAATACAAACCAGCAAGGTGGGCTTTTCCCTTAGTGGGAGACATTTAGCAGGCATGGCTGTGGGAGCTGGGGGACTTTTTGGAGGAGGTTGGGTTAGTACTGTGAAGAAAGGAAATCTAGCAGAGAGGATGGATGGCCCAGGAGGTGATTCTGGGAGAGAGAGAAGGGAGAAGCTGGCTGCAAGAAGAGGAGGAAATCACAAGGAAGACAGAGGTATTTATGACACCTCTTCCTTTGGGAAAACTAGTGAGAATTCTCTATTACTAAGTAAGGTTTGGAGTTAGACAGGCTTACCCCAGCACACTCAGGGACCCATGGTAAGAATCAGAGGGGCCTCATTCCTTACATATGCCTAAGGGTGTACACGTTATAAATCAGTCTAACTGATTGCTAAGTAAAACATGGTCTGCCAACCTTGATGTGCACACACATCCCTTTAGGGGAGCCTTCCAGGCTGGAGTTCAGAACTTTCTAGTCCTCACAGGTCTGGGTGAGGACCCAACATGTTATTATGGAACCTCTTCTTCTAGCCTCAGGTTCCCATGTATCCAGTCCATTTTCTACCCTTTCTCTGTCCCCACAACAAGGGGTCTTCAGCTGCCACGGCTCCCTAAACAGTGTAGATCTCGCACACAGCTGTCTTGTTGTGCCACGCCCAGGGCCCCCTCAGGGGGCTGGGTCATTCAGCTTCAACTCGGGGGCTGAAAAGGGAGAGCGGTTTCCCCAGGGAGGACGGTGAAGACTGGTGATCTGGGTTGAAGTTGAAATACTGAATAGAGAAGAGTGACGAGTAAGAGAGAAGACTAAGAACCCAGGGCACGGGACAGAGACAGGAACACCCTGGGCGGAGTGCTGTGAGCTTCCAGCCCCAGAGCCAGGTGGGAACTGACCTCCTCGAGCAAGCTTTCGGAGAAGGTGTCGGTTCAGATTTTAGGAACCTGGATCTTTTTAAGCACTGGTTGGAACTAGGATCCAATTCCTCACATTCATACCTTGGGCTGGGGTTGGGGTGGAGGGACAGCCAGGAGCTTTCCAAGCAGTGAAGTGCTAAAGGCAGGGTTCAGACTCACACCTACACGTCTGCCTCTACATCCCCCACAGATGTTTAGAACTCCAGTTCTGTTTGCTACCAACAACTTAGCGCCCATCTCTTCCCCAGATCTTCTCCCTGCCGCTGTGGCGTGAAGCACACTCTCGCTTCACCGCCCCTCAGCCAGCTTCCAATGTCTGACTCACCCTCACCTGGGGAAGGTTGAAGTCACCATCACCTTCACTGCACCCCTCTCCGTCATTCTCTCCCTCCCTCTAGACTACTCTATACCCCATCTTCTTTCTCTCCCTCTTAGCCACAGGCCCTCCTCAAACTTTTCTCCAAGACATCTCCAGCTCCTTCAGAAACATCCCCCACTCCTGTCCCCCGATCCAGGGTCACCTGCAACCCTTTGATTCCATCTCAGCAGCTAAACTTAGGCACAGCACAACACCCGGACATGCTTCTGTTCAGGCAAATTAAAGCCATACATTCTGAGGGGAAATGAGACTGATAAAGACAGTGCCAGAGCCTAGAAGCCCCTGAGGTCCCTTCACAGCTCGCCGTGTCTGCATTGCCCTTTTTACCCACCAGTAATTGAGGCCCTTTTTCCTCACATGGCACTAGACACATTAAATTAAAAGACATTTCTTATTCTATGATGTTTCTCTGGGTCTTCCATAGCAACAAGAATAATAATTTGGTTTCTTCTTCCAGCCTCTCTTGGCAGGTGAGAGTACCAGGGCCTTAGTGGGCTAGCCTGGGAACTTCAATGACTGTGTGATGGCTCCCCTCATTTGGGGTTTTACCTCACCACACACTCTCGGGAAAATCATTGATTTAGAACAGAGGCACCTGAGACACCGCAGTATTCACTCTTAGCCTTGGGTCAACCACTTGTGAATCACTCTGGAGTTGACTGGAATGCTGAGGGAAAGAAGAGTTTAGGAAGAAAGATGACTAAGGAATACCACAACTTCAGCATAGATATCTGCAGTTTTGTTTTCTCTTGAACTGGAGTATGTCATTCCTAGACCTTTGAGACTGAATTATATTATCTTTGTAAAAACTTGCCTTTATCTTTCCAGCAAGAATTTAAGATTGTTTCAATTTTAATTTTTATTCTTTTGTATTTTTGAGAGAGGGTCTCTCTGTGTAGCCCTGGCTGTCCTGGGACTAACTATGTAGACCAGGCTGGCCTCAAACTCAGAGATCTGGCTGCCTCTGCCTCCTGAGTGCTGGGATTGAAAGCGTGCACCACCATGCCCAGCAGTTTTTGGAAATTAAGACTGACAGGTCCTGAAGGGTTTGTCTCCATGTAATCAGCACATACCCTGCTCCCAGAAATCAGCAGGGGGCAGATAGGAAGTGTGCTATGGGAATCTTTCTGACTTTGCTGCCAAGGAGTTGAGGGAGGGCCTGCTGGAATAGAGATCACAGAAGAAGAGTTGACCCAAGACACCCAACAGAGAGCCAGGGACATGTGAGTCCATTGGCATCAAAGGGTAACCAAGACTAAGCTAGCCCTCAGGCTAAGGATGAACGGATGGGAGACAGGCCCCAGCAGAAGCCAGAGATCAATCCACTGGACATGTAATATTCAGATAGGGCAAGGGGCACTCCTTCCACATGCTGGTTCAACCAGGTTTTGAGAGTGGTCCTGGACCAGCAATATCAGCATCACCTGAGAATATCCTAGAAATGCCAGTTACCAGACCCCACTGAATGAATCAGAAACTCTCCGGATAGGACCTGCAGCCAGTACTCAGCAAACCTCCCTTACCCCCTGAATAATTCCAGTACTTGTTGACACTGGAGACCTTCTTCTCCATTCACAGTTTAGAAAATGTTTGCTCTTACAGAATCCAGTCTTGTGGATGCCATTTTCCTAGGCATCTCAGACTTGCCTGGTGAACTCAGCCCTCTTCAACCCTCTTGATTATGGTAGGACTCCTTCTTGTGTGGTGGACTGAGTCTCTGGAAATACCAGCCTTCTACACTCAGGGTTATTCTCAAATGCATCTGAGATTCTCAAATCTCTTCCTGATGGAGTGGATGAGTGCATGGGTCTACAGGTCTGTAATAGGTTTTCTGTGCCCCAGCAATAGATTTCTCCACCCATGCTGTAAGCCAGATCAAGCTGAATTGAAAAAATCTAACATCAGGTTTATTTGAGCAAAGCAACTACCCGGTGGGTTCTCCAGTCCCAGAGAAGCCACACTCCTGACAAACACTCTGCTTAAGAGTTCTTATAGGAATCCAAGAACACATCAAAAAAACATCCACCATGACCAAGTAGGCTTCATCCCAGAGATGCAGGGTTGGTTCAACATACGAAAATCTGTCAATATAGCCCACCATATAAGCTAACTGAAAGGAAAAAAAAAATGATCATCTCATTAGATGCTAAAAAGTCTTTGACAAAATTCAACACCTCTTCATGATGAAGGTCATGGAGAGAATAAGAATACAAGGGACATACCTAAGCATAATAAAGGCAATATACAATGAGTCAACAGCCAACATCAAACTAAATGGAGGAAACTCAAAGCCTATCCCACTGAAATCAGGAACAAGACAAGGCTGTCCACTCTCTCCATTTCTATTCAATATAGTACTTGCAGTTCTAGCTAGAGCAATAAGACAACAAAAGGAGACCAAGGGGATACAAATTAGAAAAGAAGTCAAAATTTCACTATTTGTTGATGATATGATAGTATACATAAGTGACCCAAAAATTCTACCAGGGAATTCCTACAACTGATAAACACCTTTAGTAATATATCAGGATACAAGATTAACTAAAAAAAAAAAAAAATCAGTAGCCCTCCAATATGCAGATGATAATCAGGCTGAGAAAGAAATCAGAGAAACATGACCCTTTACAATAGTCACAAATAACATAAAATATCTTGGGGTAACTCTAACCAATATGATAAGAACTTTAAGTCTTTAAAGAAAAA